GGCCTGGGGTACTCACGTTTGGAATGGGGGATCGAAATTCATGGTATTTCAGTAAATGGGAGCTCCATTTGGGCCCCATTTACTGTCAAATATGACAATGACAAGCGGGAAATTTTGCACCTGGGCTGGAGATTTCGAGAACCTTCTGGGTTACCTGGAGGAAACTATATAAGCGACGACGAGAACCATGGGGGGAGGGAAGTGACAGCAACGACCGGGTGCAGAAGAGATTTAACCCCGCGAGTCGGAAGAGCGAGTTTTCCGCCTGTTATTGTTTGTGAAGTTGACGGTAATTTTGAAGTTAGTTTGTTCCTGTTCCGTAGTTAAATTTATACCGAGTGGAATAAAAGTTGGAAGCAGAAGAAAGAGTTTGATACTCGGCCATCCACGGTACAATCTCAAAATTCATCTATATATCGATGTTTATACATAGAATGATGAGGTTTTCTGTTAGTAATTAATAACGGAATCATGGTATCTTAATAAAAGAGCTAATGCAAGCTCCATGATGCTAATTAATCAACTACACAAATTTCCCTTTGCACTGTGCTCGGGCTGCCGACTTCTGTCAACTTTTAGACGCACAAGCGAACCCACCCTCGACGCATGCTATGGACGCTGCAGCCGCATCACTGCACGCATCAATCGCACAAGCGAATCCAGGAAATATTGATTTATTCCTTAGTGGTGAAAAGGTACAAATCACCGAATAATTTTTATTTGTCTAAAAGAAATTCACCTGGACAGTTTAAAATGATAATGACTATTTCAATTAACTCTTCTGTCATTTCAAATCAATTGCAAATTATCAGTCGTACTATTATTAATTTTCGCTCCTCGTGCAAATAATATTAAACATTTGGTAAAGGTCGTTGGGCCTGTAATCTTCTAAATGCTGATTTTCGGCTATAGCATGATTGCTTAGATGGCAATATCATGTTGCGTCGATTTCCGCTAGCCAGCCCATACGCGCACGAAAAACTGTGGCTCAACCACAGCGTGGCGCGACTCGTCCAGAGGAAAGCGGCGTGCTCTGTCGCGTCGTGTCCCAATTTACGCTGTTTTATTGATTTCCACTGACCACAGAAAAGCGCTCTGTGCTGTACTGCTTCGCGCGCGCCGTACGCGTCTCTATTTGCGTTTAACCTAAGGCTAAGCGCAATTTGTTGTTAAGCAGCGTACAGTCATTTCATTAACATCCTGTATTCACTTTCAAATGCACTTTCCCGATCGCGCAATTATCAGCCAGCAAAAGGTTCGTTCGGATTACTGGATATCCGTATGTGCCTAAATTTAAAAGGTTATGCTAAAATATTGGGTAATATGAAATTTGATTTTTTTGAAGTGTACTTTTAAAAGCTAATATAATTAAAACAAGATAGAAAAATCATCGCATACGCGTGAAGTCTGATTCAGTAATTTAAATTTTATATAATCAAACAAATTTTATATTTAGTTTTGGTTTTTGCTTTGCTTTTGAGTGGAAATTTTTAAGTAGACTCACTCTACACATTAACTACTTGTACGGATTAGCCAAAATAAATTAAACATTTAATAAAAATACTATATAAAACAACTGAACTAATTATAGAATTATTCAAAATCGTATCTGATATTTTATGAAAGTTACTTTTGATCTTAATTAATGTTTGACAGTTTAGTAGTGCAAGTTACTAGTTGATTACTTGCACATCTGCAAAACACTATGACCAACGCTTATGGATGCCAATCGAATGCGACGGTGCTAAAAATATTTCACTAAATCATAATTGCTACTTACAGCTCTTCTCGCTGGCGTTGAGACAAAACCATTTTCATGTTAAGGTTTTGAAGCTCACTTTTCGATATTCGTCTATTTCATGCCAACCTACAACGAGAATAAAACTAAGCAAATACTTAATAATTGTAAAGCATTGTTATACAAAAAGACCTTTGCTGCATAGCAAAGAATCAGTTTAAGCAAAGGTGGTAAATGATGACGAAATATATTAAGGTGGAAAGCTTTTATATTTCCGCTGTTACGCATTTTCTTCATGTAAAATATAACAAGTGGTTTAAAAGAAATGGGACCACAAAATGATTTCATCGCTTTTAGAGATATTTTCTAACACTGTTTTCAAATTTACTGTATTTTATCCCACACCCTTCTTATTATTCATATAAACTAGTGTAAGTGTAATATTAGTCAAGTTCTCATACAAGGTAATAATTAATATTTTCATCCAGTTTTTCTCTTAAAATTGCAAGTACAAAATTACGCAGCATTCGAAGCATCTGATTTTCATTTCAGCTCTTTTAAACATTTATTCAGATTTCTTTTGATATCGTTTTTTTACAAGTGTCGTGGTAAATTTTGTTGCTCTAAATACTGAATCTGAATGATATGAATGGTATATTTATATAACCATTTATGCCGACTATTCTTTTAAAATAAGACCTAGTATCGATTCTGCTATGATCAGCATGCTTTAGGTATAAAAGAAGCCACAGCAGAAACGAGCATTCAGTCAATAAGAGTTCACGTCACATTATTAAGTGAAGTCAAAAAAACTTCACGCAGCGATGTCAACCCTACGGATTTAGAGCTGGATGCTCCGATATACCGATAGGTAGTCCAATTCTACGGATTTTTATTGAAGTCCATTGGACCAATTAATACTCGTATTTACAACGTTAACACCAACATTTTCAAACTCACAAGGTACAAATATCTTTATATGCATCTTGTATAATTTTATAAAATATATTATTCATATTCTACAAGCAAATGAAAATAATAATTTACCATCCTACAAATTAATATAAAATTACGTTTCTGTGTTCTAGTGCCCGGCGTCATCAACTTTTGTGCGGTGTTTCTATTAATGTGCCGGCAAAACGGGTCGGTTCTTCTTTCAGTTAGCTCAATTTTTTTATTTCAACTACGAGTAGTAAAGGGGCTTTAAGTTTTCAAAATTGTCTAAGAATAACTGTTTTATCTCAATGATATTAAAATGAAAAAGGAACTTTTTTTGCTTGTGGTCTTCATAGAAATAACTTGAGTACCTAATATTATGTTTTTATCATTATTTTATTTTTATGTTTTTATCATTATTATCATAACTATTATTTTTCAGAAACGATATACGGAAATTTGCTATTAAAAAGTTGGCATCGCTGACATCACGTCACGTTATTAAGTCGTCAATACGATCCACGTTTACGATTAGGTTCGGTCATAGACAAGTCATTAGATGTCAAGCAATAGATGCAGTCCCGATTATATTACAGTGGTTGTGTTTAATTTCGAAAAAGTTCTAAATGAATTAATAAAATTGTGTCTAGGGCAATAAGTAAACAATAGAAACATTGGTTTGCGTACGTCAGTAAGTTAACGGAACAAAAAAAAGTCGAAATATTGTTGACTTTAGTGATAGAACAGGTACCCAAATAGAAGCAGTTCAGTCATTTAATAAAATCTACCTTGATCTTCCTTTCATACAGGGTCATTCAAAATTGGAGTCATTTCTTTTAAGGGGTGATAGAGGCTCACTTGGGGAGTACGAGAAAAATATTGAAAATGTTTTTTCGAAAATTTCTAGAAGATATTAACAGTTGAAGATCAAATTTCAACTTTGTTATTAAGCATTATTTAGAACTTGTTCCATGTTTAATTGGTAGCATATTGGAATGCTTAAGCATTCAAAGAGAAAAATTACGATCTTTGCTTCAAATTACGAAAAATTTTTATATCAAAAAAGCTCTCTTCTACAATTTTTTGATGAAAAATCACAGCGGCAGTGATGTTTTCTGTCACTAACAGATAGTTACAGGTGGATAGCCCTTGTCAATAAAACTTAAATTTGTCAAACTGTGACTTACTTTGAATTTCCTTTCACGAATTTGTGGATATGCGCTTAGTTCAAGGGAAATCCTACAGTAACATAGCAGAAGCTGAAAGAACTCAAGCAAACAAAGGGCGAGGAGAGTGGTTCCAGGAAGATAGTGAACGACAATCGATGTTCGGGTTCCATGCACAGAGGAACAAGTATTGGACATAACCGAATCGGGGCCTTCCAGGAGTACTCAGAGCACAATAACTGACACTTTCCCAAGCACCAAATAAATACCGAGGAAGGGCTAGATTCCTACCACGTTTGTACGATACAGACAGCACAAGGAGATACAAATGGAGCAGGAGTTAATTAACTGAATAAGAGAAGCTGCTTGATAAGAGTGGATAATAAGGAGATTACACAGGCACTAGCTTGTTTGGAGTTATCCATTTAAATGTTTGGTGTTGTATGGATTAATTATGTAAACACAAAACCCCGCAGAATTCGAGGTTAGGAGAACAGGTTGACATTTCGAAAGTACGTTCCGCAGTCACGTTATCCTTGTCTATCTTATTGTCACTCTGTATAATTCCATGGTTACCGGAGTTTTAAATAATTACGAAGTAACAGGTATTTGCGCAATGTTAATTAGGCAGATTACCTTGAAAAACATTGCTGCAGTATTTCTGATATAGTTTTTTGCAAATTTCTTAGTTTTTAATAACAATTAATTTATTTTACTATTTTTTCTGTACTCCTAAAGACGCGCCAAACAACACCTCCAGAGGAATGACGCCAATTTTGAAGCACCCTGTATATATTTAATAGCCTTCTCTAAAAAATATATATTTTTGTGCTCTTATGATACAGGGTGTATATATGTTTATACAGGGTGTATATACTGTATGTACCAAGAGGTGGTGAGTAGAATAGAAGTTATATTCAGATAGTTAGACAGACATTCTTAGTCGGAAAGCACGGGAGATCACTTCGCCCACTGCCTCATCGCCTTTGAAAATGTCCACCGCAGTTGTGGACGAAACGTCAGGAAGAAATTCCGATAGACCTTCAAAGCCCCGAGAACATTCCTAAATGTAATCTGACCGACCGTGAAAGCCTTTATAGTCTGATAAAACGCCTCTACGGGGAGGATACATCGAGACTGATTCGACAACTGGAAAACCTGCGTAAGAAGAAGGCGCAGCTTTTGTGTTCACTGGCTTTCTTGC